TTTCCATGAGTTTACATATAAGTTACTCAAATTCAAAACCAAGACGGTCCTTAGTCTCCGACAATGCTGACGTCACATTGACTCATCTGGAAAATTCGCATCTCGGCCAATAATAGAATAATAACTGACTTCGGGAATCTTCGATTTGTCCAAAATAATCGCAGTGTTCTTTGCCAAGGTGAGAGATCCAGGCCTGGACTCTGCCTGTCATTCCAAATTAAGCCATCTAAAATCCTTTTCCCAATCATAAGACTAACATTAACGGGAATTGGAATTCCATGTTCGTTGCAATATGTGCACATACCATTCAAGAACTAACTCATATTTTATAACGTTCTTAATGTCTGGATTTTAATAAATTATCTGTTTTTCGCTCAGACATACTTTTATGAAAGAAATGAACAAGCAAGCAATATATAGCATTATCACATAAAAATTTCTAAAAATTCAAATCATCAGTATCTCCACACTTGTATTAAAAAAAAGAAAGCCAGAGAGACTGATCTGTGTTTTGGTTTCATTTGCCTGTCTAAGGTATCAGAATGTGAAAAGTTATGGAGATCTGCCTTTCATCATGTCCCTCAATAACTTACATACGGGATTAAAGCGGCTGAAGCTTATCTGTGAGAGTGAAGATTGCCGAAATAGCTCAGATGGGAGAGCGTTAGACTGAAGATCTAAAGGTCCTGGTTTCCCGGCAAGCGCCTTTGTCCTCGTAGTATAGTGGTCAGTATCCCGCCTGTCACGCGGGAGACTTTCGACCGCCGGAGGGCTCATATTTTCTTAAGCAGAATGAGTTTCAATTTCATTCCGAGTTTACATATAAAGTTACTCAAATTCAAAACCAAGCACGGTCCTTTATAATCTCCGACAATGCCGTGACGTCACATTGACTCATCTGGAAAATTCCGCATCTCGGCCAATAATAGAGATATAGAGAAAATAATCGCGACTTCGGGAATCTTCGATTTGTCGCCAAAATAATCGCAGGTGTTCTTTGCAAGGTGAGAGATCCGGCCCGGATCTGCCTGTCATTCCAAATACAGCATCTAAAATCCTTTTCCAATCATAAGACTAACATTACGAATTGGAATTCGTTCAATATATGCACATACCATTCAAGAACTAACTCATATTTTATAACGCTCTAATGTCTGATTTTAATAAATTATCTGTTTTTTCTGCTCCAGACATACTTTATGAAATTGTTAAAACAACAAGCAATAATATATAATGCATTATCACATAAAATTTCCTAAAATTCAAATCATCAGTATCCTCCAACACTTGTTATTAAAAATAGAAAAGCAGAGATCAGACGTATCGTGTTTTGGTTTCATTTGCCTGTACGGTATCAGAATGTAAAAGTTATGGGAGATCCGCTTCCTTTCATCATGTCCCTCAATAACGATCCTGCACATAGGGATTAAAGCGGCTGAAGCTATTCGAGAGTGAAGTGCATGAAATACTCAGATGGGAGAGCGTTAGACTGAAGATCTAAAGGTCCTGGTTGATCCTCTGTGGCAAGCGCTTTGTCCGGTAGTAGTGGTCAGTATCCCCGCCTGTCACAGGGAGACCGGTTCGATCCCGGGGAGGCTCTAATTTTTAGTGCAGCAGAATGAGTTTCACGAATTTATTTCCATGAGTTTACATATAAAGTTACTCAAATTCAAAACCAAGCACGGTCCTTTATATTCTCCCCGACAAGCCGTGACGTCACATTGACTCATCTGGAAAATTCCGCATCTCGGCCAATAATAGAATATAGAAAATAATCGGACTTCGGAATCTTCGATTTGTCGCCAAAATAATCGCAGAGTTCTTTGCCAAGGTGAGAGATCCAGGCCTGGACCTGCCTGTCATTCCAAATTAGTACCTAAAAATCCTTTTCCCAACCATAAGACTAACATTAACGGAATTGGAATTCCATGTTCTGCAATATGTGCACATACCATTCAAGAACAACTCATATTTTATAACGTTCTTAGTCTGATTTTAATAAATTATCTGTTTTTCGCTCAGAATACTTTTATGAAATTGTTAAATAACAAGCAAGCAATAATATATAGCATTATCACATAAAATTTCCTAAAAATTCAAATCATCAGTATCCTCCAACACTTGTTATTAAAATAGAAAGCAGAGATGACGTATCGTGTTTTGGTTTTCTTGCCTGTTCTAAGGTATCAGAATGTGAAAAGTTATGGGAGATCCGCCTTCCTTTCATCATCCTCACAATGATCCTGCACATACGGGATGAAGCTTATCTGTGAGAGTGAAGATGCTGAAATAGCTCAGATGGGAGAGCGTTAGACCAAGATCTAAAGGTCCCGGTTCGATCCCGGTTCGGCAAGCGCCTTTGTCCTCGGTAGTATAGTGGTCAGTATCCCCGCCTGTCACGCGGGAGACCGGGGTTCGATTCCCCGCCGGGGAGGGCTCAATTTTTTAGTGCAGCAGAATGAGTTTCACGAATTTCATTTCCATGAGTTTACATATAAAGTTACTCAAATTCAAAAACCAAGCACGGTCCTTTTATAGTCTCCCCGACAATGCCGTGACGTCACATTGACTCATCTGGAAAATTCCGCATCTCGGCCAATAATAGAGATATAGAGAAAATAATCGCGACTTCGGGAATCTTCGATTTGTCGCCAAAATAATCGCAGTGTTCTTTGCCAAGGTGAGAGATCCAGGCCTGGACTCTGCCTGTCATTCCAAATTAAGCCATCTAAAATCCTTTTCCCAATCATAAGACTAACATTAACGGGAATTGGAATTCCATGTTCGTTGCAATATGTGCACATACCATTCAAGAACTAACTCATATTTTATAACGTTCTTAATGTCTGGATTTTAATAAATTATCTGTTTTTTCGCCCAGACATACTTTTATGAAATTGTTAAATGAACAAGCAAGCAATAATATATAATGCATTATCACATTATTCAAAAATTCAAATCATCAGTATCCTCCAACACTTGTTATTAAAAATAGAAAGCCAGAGAGATCAGACGTATCGTGTTTTGGTTTTCATTTGCCTGTACTAAGGTATCAGAATGTGAAAAGTTATGGGGAGATCCGCCTTCCTTTCATCATGTCCCTCAATAACGATCCTGCACATACGGGATTAAAGCGGCTGAAGCTTATCTGTAGAGTGAAGATGTGCCGAAATAGCTCAGATGGGAGAGCGTTAGACTGAAGATCTAAAGGTCCCTGGTTCGATCCGCTCGGCAAGCGCCTTTGTCCTCGAGTATAGTGGTCAGTATCCCCGCCTGTCACGCGGAGACCGTCTGATTCGCCGGGGAGGGCTCATATTTTTAGTGAGCAGAATGAGTCTACTGAATTTCTTTCCATGAGTTTACATATAAAGTTACTCAAATTCAAAACCAAGCACGGTCCTTTATAGTCTCCCGAAATGCCGTGACGTCACATTGACTCATCTGGAAAATTCCGCATCTCGGCCAATAATAGAGATATAGAGAAAATAATCGCGACTTCGGGAATCTTCGATTTGTCGCCAAAATAATCGCAGAGTTCTTTGCCAAGGTGAGAGATCCAGGCCTGGACTCTGCCTGTCATTCCAAATTAGCCATTAAAACCCTTTTCCAATCATAAGACTAACATTAACGGGAATTGAAATTCCATGTTCGTAGCAATATGTGCACATACCATTCAAGAACTAACTCATATTTTATAACGTTCTTAATGTCTGGATTTTAATAAATTATCTGTTTTTTCGCCCAGACATACTTTTATGAAATTGTTAAATGAACAAGCAAGCAATAATATATAATGCATTATCACATAAAAATTTCCTAAAAATTCAAATCATCAGTATCCTCCAACACTTGTTATTAAAAATAGAAAGCCAGAGAGATCAGACGTATCGTGTTTTGGTTTTCATTTGCCTGTACTAAGGTATCAGAATGTGAAAAGTTATGGGGAGATCCGCCTTCCTTTCATCATGTCCCTCAATAACGATCCTGCACATACGGGATTAAAGCGGCTGAAGCTTATCTGTGAGAGTGAAGATGTGCCGAAATAGCTCAGATGGGAGAGCGTTAGACTGAAGATCTAAAGGTCCCTGGTTCGATCCCGGGTTTCGGCAAGCGCCTTTGTCCTCGGTAGTATAGTGGTCAGTATCCCCGCCCGTCACGCGGGAGACCGGGTTTCGATTCCCCGCCGGAGATGGCTCTATTTTTTTAGTGCAGCAGAATGAGTTTCACGAATTTCATTTCCATGAGTTTACATATAAAGTTACTCAAATTCAAAAACCAAGCACGGTCCTTTTATATTCTCCCCGACAAGGCCGTGACGTCACATTGACTCATCTGGAAAATTCCGCATCTCGGCCAATAATAGAGATATATAGAAAATAATCGCGACTTCGGGAATCTTCGATTTGTCGCCAAAATAATCGCAGAGTTCTTTGCCAAGGTGAGAGATCCAGGCCTGGACTCTGCCTGTCATTACAAATTAAGCCATGTAAAATCCTTTTCCCAACCATAAGACTAACATTGACGTGAATTGGAATTCCATGTTCGTAGCAAAATGTGCACATACCATTCAAGAACTAACTCATATTTTATAACGTTCTTAATGTCTGGATTTTAATAAATTATCTGTTTTTTCGCCCAGACATACTTTTATGAAATTGTTAAATGAACAAGCAAGCAATAATATATAATGCATTATCACATAAAAATTTCCTAAAAATTCAAATCATCAGTATCCTCCAACACTTGTTATTAAAAATAGAAAGCCAGAGAGATCAGACGTATCGTGGTTTGGCTTTTTTGCTCGTACTAAGGTATCAGAATGTGAAAAGGTGGGGAGATCCGCCTTCCTTCTATCATGTCCCTCAATAACGATCCTCACATACGGGATTAAAGCGGCTGAAGCTTATTCGGAGTGTGAAGATGGCCGAAATAGCTCATAGGGAGAGCGTTAGACTGAAGATCTAAAGGTCCCTGGTTCGATCCGGTCGCAAGCGCCCTTGTCCTCGGTAGTATAGTGGCAGTATCCCCGCCCGTCACGCGGGAGACGGGTTTCGATTCCGCCGGAGAGGCTCTATTTTTTTAGTGCAGCAGAATGAGTTTCACGAATTTCTTCATGAGTTTACATATAAAGTTACTCAAATTCAAAACAAGCACGGTCCTTTATATCTCCTGACAAGGCCTGACGTCACATTGACTCATCTGGAAAATTCCGCATCTCGGCCAATAATAGAGATATAGAGAAAATAATCGCGACTTCGGAATCTTCGATTTGTCGCCCAACGCAGAGTTCTTTGCCAAGGTGAGATCCAGGCCTGGACCTGCTGTCATTCCAAATTGCCATTAAAATCCTTTTCCCAACATAAGACAACATTGACGGGAATTGAATTCCATGTTCGTATAATATGTGCACATACCATTCAAGAACTAACTCATATTTTATAACGTTCTTAATGTCTGATTTTAATAAATTATCTGTTTTTCGCGACATACTTTTATGAAATTAAATTAACAACAAGAATAATATATAATATTATCACATTCCTAAAATTCAAATCATCAAATCCTCCAACACTTGTTATTAAAAATAGAAAGCCAGAGATCAGACGTATCGTGTTTTGGTTTTCATTTGCCTGTACTAAGGTATCAGAATGTGAAAAGTTATGGGAGATCCGCCTTCCTTTCATCATGTCTCAATAACGATCCTGCACATACGGGATTAAAGCGGCTAGTTATCTGTGAGAGTGAAGATGGTGAAATAGCTCAGATGGGAGAGCGTTAGACGAAGATCTAAAGGTCCCTGGTTCGATCCTGCTCGGCAAGGCCTTTGTCCTCGTAGTATAGTGGTCAGTATCCCGCCTGTCACGCGGGAGACCGGGTCCGATTTCGCCGGGAGGGCTCTATTTTTAGTGCAGGAATGAGTTTTACGAATTTCATTTCTGAGTTTCATATAAAGTTACTCAAATTAAAACCAAGCACGGCCTTTATAGTCTCCCGACAAGGCTGACGTCACATTGACCTATCTGGAAAATTCCGCATCTCGGCCAATAATAGAGATATAGAGAAATAACTGCGACTTCGGGAATCTTCGATTTGTCCAAAATAATCGCAGAGTTCTTTGCCAAGGTGAGAGATCCAGGCTGACTCTGCCTGTCATTCCAAATTAAGCCATTAAAATCCTTTTCCCAACCATAAGACTAACATTGACGGAATTAATTCCATGTTCGTAGCAAAATGTGCACATACCTTCAAGAACTAACCTATATTTTATAACGTTCTTAATGTCTGATTTTAATAAATTATCTGTTTTTCGCTCCAGACATACTTTTATGAAAATTTATATAACAACAAGCAATAATATATAGCTATCACATCATAAAAATTTCTAAAAATTCAAATCATCAGTATCCTCCAACACTTGTTATTAAAAATAGAAAGCCAGAGAGACTGACGTATCGTGTTTTGGTTTTCATTTGCCTGTACTAAGGTATCAGAATGTGAAAAGTTATGGGGAGATCCGCCTTTCATCATGTCCTCAATAACGATCCTGCACATACGGGAAGCGGCTGAAGTTATCTGTGAGAGTGAAGGGTGCCGAAATAGCTCAGATGGGAGAGCGTTAGACTGAAGATCTAAAGGTCCCTGGTCTGATCCCGTTCTGGCAAGCGCTTTGTCCTCGAGTATAGTGGTCAGTATCCCCGCCTGTCACGCGGGAGACGCTTGATTCCCGCCGGAGAGGCTCTATTTTTAGTGCAGCAGAATGAGTTTCACGAATTTCATTTCCATGAGTTTATATAAAGTTACTCAAATTCAAAACCAAGCAAGCAATACGTAACGAACGAAGCAATGATAGA